GGAACAACACGCTGCGGGGCTTCATTGGCGGCTTTTCTTCGCGATGTGACCCGACGCGCTCGTTGTTTACCGGATCGATAGTCCGATCGTTAAAAGATCGATTTTATCGTATTGCTTCTCTCGAGACGCGGGGAGCAGGAGGAAGAGCGGGGAGGGAGAGGAACAATCGTTGTAACGTATCAGCGTTGTATCTCGACTCGACGTTTACTCTTCTCTCTCTCTCTCTCTCTCTCTCTCTCTCTCTCTCTCTCTTTTTTTTTTTCCTTTTCTTTTTTAGTATCCAAAGGACCGACCACGCGCGCGGCCGCTGTCCGTCTCTCTTTTCGATCAACCCCAGAGTCGTCCTGCATCGTTCACCGTCGTTCATGCGCTCGCGCGCACCCTTTCGCCCTTCGCCCGCCACCGCTCTTTCCCTTGCCACTCTCCCCCGTCCTGTTCCCTCCGCCATACTCTCTCTTTCTCACTTTCGCGCGCTGTCTTTCTCTCTCTCTCTCTCTCTCTCTCTCTCTCTCTCTCTCTCTCGAGGGATGATGGACTTGCACGGCGGACGACGTAGAATAGAGAATAACAAGGTAGGTCACGCGATACAGGCGCGGATGCAACGAAATTACACACCGATCTTTCTGTCTCTCGAGCAATCGTACGTCTGTATGAAATATTTGTTCCGGTATAATGTAATACTGATTCGCGAATATTCCGCTGTTTTTTCCATCTGCGCGACCATGCGCGAGGCGAATGCTAGGCATCGATCCTGTAAATCACACTCGAGTCCGGCTCCGGAGTTCGGCTCGTATCTCCTCGAGGATTTCCCTGCTGCGCGCCCGAGGTTGTCGACTAACCGGAGGATGTTTCGCCGGCAAATTTTGAAATAGATATTCGTAATTCGTCGTCCGAGCACGAGCGAGCGAATGAACAAGCATAAGTCCCAGCGGACTGCGGGCGTAGCGAGCGAGCCGATATTTATCGGGGACGGTACGCGATATGCGCGCGGACTTTCATTTGACTGTAATAACATGTCGCGCCCACGAGACGGAGTGTTTGCAAAGGGGTAATTCGGGATGCAAATTAATGCGCGTAATGGCGATAATACGGACAGAGTTGCACGCTTTTCCGCGGCGCGCCGATGAAACGTAACACCGCGCCGGTAGGAGGAAAAATCTGATCCCGAGTTCTTGGTGCATCGGCTGCGCCAAGTGCATTTGCATACCCGTTGAGATCTTCGTATTGTTTGCGTGGATAATGATCTTCGTTGTTGACCGCGCGTTAATGATCCCTTATTAAGCAGCTTGAATGCAACGCTTGTGGAAATGCTGAGGAAATTGTTGGGAAATACGGATTCCCTGCCAGAGCAAATAACCGCGCTGGCATAATTGCGGCAACGTCTCTTTCACGAAGTTACGATAAACAGCAAGGTCAAGTCCACTCCGCTTTCGACGTTAAACGCCTTTGTAGCGCGTGCCAATTGAAATTACGTCAAAGCGAGGGCCTTGGGAAATTAATCAGAAGTTGCTCTGAAATATATTTATAATTAGCGAAAACGCCACACAGAGAAAAATGTCGTTCTACTGCTATATTAAGAAAAACATATTTTAAAGTTTGTGAGATAAAAGCCATTTCATAGGAATAAATTTTATTTCACAGAAATAAATTTTATATCCCACAAATAAATTTTCAAGTATTTTTTTTCAGTATAAAAGAAGAGTAACTACTCAGTTTTTTCTTTTAAGTAATGATTATCTTCAATAAAAAATATTTTCTTGATAACAATCTTAAAATATATTCACATCGCAAATTAAAAAAAAAACTCATTATCGTGTAACTCGAAAGAATTAATTTTTTTTTTATACTGAGAAAAGAATACTTGAAAATTTACATTTATGAAATATAAATTTTATTTCTGTAAAATATAGTTTATCTATGTGAAATAAATTTTTATCCCGCACGAACAAATAAATATTTAAGTGTTTTTTCTCAGTGTACAAGAATGTTATAGAACTTTATCAATGAAAAAGTTGCTTCGATTCTATATAGTAAGTAACCCAAATTTTATTTGTAATATATATATAATTATATTTCTCTAGTTTATATAATATGAAACAACAAATTATGTGGTTGCTGCAACCACAGAGCAATTGCTGATTTATTGGCGTTGCAGTAGTGACCATATCTGGTTACTCCAAGCAGAGTGTATCCATGGCAAATGTCAGCCCAACCGATTTCTGGTTGCCACAACCAGATCACGCGCAATTACATTGATGTAGTTGATGTATCAAAGTAACTGACAATGAACACTACCGACATGACCAGAGCGATTTTGATTCGCACCTATCCTATTCCCTTCAGCTTTCTCAGACAGAATATAACATCTAGTTTTCTATATCCTTCGTTTTTGTTCACATACATCAGAAGGTGCCAAAAAAACATTTCCCTATAACCTATATTGAGCATTAACTCAATCGAAATATCTCGACAAATACATTAAGAAAAAAAAATTTTACACACACACACACACACACATATATATATATTTCTTTTTACATATGAATTACATATAAATATATATATTTTTTTTTACATATCTATAGTTTATAAATAGAAGGTCTTATAGATAAATTATTTATATGTATATATTTATATGTACATATAAATATGTATATGTACTAAATATGTAATATTTATATGTACATATGCAAATACGTATTGGTAGATCATTTTGTATTACTCAGGGTGCACCATTGAATCTAGTGAATCTACTTAACAAGATCTTTCGTTTGAGTTATTGCTCGATATAGGTTACAAGGGCACGTTTTTTCTAAAGCCTTTGACGCCCTCTGGTGGGCAAATTAAGGCATATGCAGAAAAATGGGTATTACTTCAGTTTTTCTCAGAAAAACTGAAGGAGATATTTGAGACGCGTCAAATCTTTCTGCTTTCATCTGCTCGTTTCCTTCCACTGGCGTTTTTGTTAATGATCATAGACTTCATATTTTCAGTGTCGCTGTCTATATGTGTGACTTGAGAAAATAAAAAAAAAATAAAATAAAAACAGCGCGCAGTTGTTACCGTCTTAAGCAAATCGATTACTGTTGCAGCATGCCGGAACCTTGAAACTTATTTGAAGCATTCTTTTTGGACTTCGGGAGGAATCGTTCGCGGCCGATCCGGCCGAGTGATCGTTCCTTCGATCTCTCGACTGCTTTTGAACGCTGCTATGACGGACTGTACGGTGACCATGAGAGCTCGACGGCCGCTGTTTGTTCCTCGCTTTATCTCGAACGTAAATATCGCTTGGAATATATAGGAGGCGGTGTTAGGAGCGACGAAGATACACGTACGAACAAATGCGCGTACCTTGCCGAGAAGCAGAGAAGGACAGTGAACTACTACGAAGACGACGACGACGACGACAACGACAACGACGGCGACAACGACGGCGACAGCCGGGGCACGCAAGGACCTAGCTGGAGGAAAAAGGAGAAACGAAAATAGAAGGACGGACACGGCCGGGCGGGACGGACGGACGGACACTGGATAAACAAGGGGCAATAGAGATAAACAGAGAATATTACGAGAAATATGCGCAAACACGAAACTCTCGTTCCTCCTCTCTCGCGTACGTCTCTCTTCTCTTCCACGGCCGTCGTCCTCTTTCCGCTCGCTTTCGTTTGTTTGGCCGCGTGCTTGCCCCCGCCTCGCCCGCGCCGCTCATTTGCAACCTACTTTTTTAAGCACCCACCGACCTGTCGCGTCGCCCGCCGCTTGTTGGCCCATCATCCCTGTCGGCTGGTCGCTCGCTCACTCGCTCGTTCGTTCGTTCGCTTGCTCGCTCCGTCACGTCGCTACTTAATTTCCCCACCTGATATCTCGTTAAAGATTTTCTCGCTCCTTGAGAGACGCTCGTTTCTTGTGTCAGATTCGGAGCATGAGTTTTAAGCGGTCCCCGAGAATTGTTTGGGCAAGAAAGTTTTCAGAGTGTACGTTCAGGTCGCGCGCGCGCGAACGCGGGAGTGATTGAGAATCCGTGTGAGGGAATTGTGTCTTGGATAACTTAACCCCTTATTTCGAATGCCGATGAGTTAAGTTTCTTTTCGGATGTCCGTTTTAGAGGATCTACTAGTATTAACTCAGGAATAGAGTTAATGTGAATTCGATCAGTGTTACACTTGAGAAAAATACTTGAAAATTTATTTAATGGATATAAAGTTTATTTCTATGAAATAAACTTCCTATGCAATAAACTTTATATGCCACAAATAAATTTTCAAATGTTTTTCCTCAGTGTAGTAAGCACGTCCCTGTCATTTTGACTGTACTACGCTGAGAAAAAATATCTAAAAAATAAAATAAATACTTATATATATATTAATAAATATCTAAAAAATAAAAAAAAAATACTTGATACAGATATTGATAATATATTTAAATTAAAATTCTTTTATTTAAATAGAATATACATTTATTTTCATGAAAAACTAAGTTTGTAGTAAAATATATATTTTTTTATTTAAGAAATATTTTATATCATTATACAGTATATATATGTTATTAGTATCCATCGAATAAATATTTTTAATTTGTTAGAGATTATATTCTCAGTATATACATTAACACATACATATATTATAACAAATTGATAACAATTGATAAAAAAATGTTATAGTAATTTAGTATTGAAATAACAATAAAAAGAATTTTATTAATTATATATTTTATTATTAATATTTCTCTTCCTCTTCTTTTTTGTTTTCGAACTTTTTTATTTTTTCACTTCTTTTTTTTATTTAATCTATTTTCATTAGAAATATAAATTTATTGATAAGATATAGAATATATTTTATTAACGTAAAAACATATGCGTATTAAAATTTATGAAAAGACAAAATTTATAAAATTAAAATTCTTACGTATGTGTTCGTATAAAAATATATATATTCATGTCATATTTTACGTGTTTATACAGGAATAAACATATTGTATTTTTTTTTTATACTATGCACAGAAAGACTAAGAAAGATTTACGTGAAAAATGAAATATGAAATTATCAATAAATTTGATAGATATAATTAAAAAATAAATAAGTGCAGCAAAATGATCGGGACGCGCTTACTTGTAGCTTACTTGTAGCTGAAAAAATTATTTTTGTTTTGCAAAACTTAATTATTATTTTTACTACAATTAATACATTTTATTATATCGTTTTGATATTGCATCAGAGCATATGCGGAAACAAATTACTTATATAGTTTCAGCGTTAATCGACAAGTGATTCATTTTGTTATACTTTCAAGCGGCAATAAATTTTCCAACATTAAATTATCATTTTAGTTACACAATGAAATTGAATGGTAAATTAAATGCAATATCATTTTAGTTAAACGCGGGAAAACTATAATAATTTTCGTTGATATTACAATTTAACTTCATGACATTTAAGAAAATGGACTTAGTAATGCTGAACATAGTCGACAATTTCAGCCGATGACGTACCTAGCAAATTTACATACGCAAACAAGTTGCGCCAATACAAATAGGCAGAAGCAAATAGCAAAGCCGCACTAACGAAACTTTTATGAGCGAGCTAATTGTCAGAACGGAATACGCGACTACGGCTTGTCGTATATTCGCAACGAAACATTATTGTATATTAAACGCTATATACGTGTACATGTCGCGTAACATACACACACACACACACACACACACACACACACACACACACACACATATATATATATATATATATATATATATATCGTATAATTTTTCGAGACATTTCTATAAAACGATTATTAATTTCAACTTATTTTACTTTTTAATTAATAGCATTTCTCATATTGTATTTCTCATTAGTGCAGAGCGGAACTTTGCGTAGAACATTCAATTTTACTTCGTTTTTTACTATTTTTTGAAATTTATCTCAATTCAACTGTACTCATACGATTATGTTATTAAATAAATTGTATCGTGTGCGAGGAGAAATTCATTTCGGGGAAAATAAATATTAAAGCAGGATCAAATTTCTTTCGTAATAGAACAACATCGTTTCGATCAAATTTATGCAATATACCATAGAATATCCATAATTTTGTGCATGACTCTCTCTCTCTCTCTCTCTTTCCGTCTCTTTCTCTCTCTCTCTCTCTCTCTCTCTCTCTCTCTCTCTCTCTCTCTCGACATAGCGAAATTGGGTCAATCGCGGAATCTAGAAGAACTGCCATTGAACGGATGATTGATACGCAGAAGCTTTCTTCAATTAGCGAACTCACTCGCTATCTGCCCCCGCATCCACATCCGAATGCTGATTTTATTACAACACCGTTTATTCCGATGAATCAGAGAAGCTACAAACACCATTTGTCACAATGTCCGCTGCCTCTTATTTTTCTCAATTTTTTATGTCAGTTGATTAATTAATTCTGCCCCGTCAATTTACCGCTAGGCAAGTTCGTTCAAAATGACTGCACGGTTACCACATTACACGCGCTTGGCAACAAATTCTGAGAGAAAAACATGCTTAAGAGCTTATTTGTGGCATGTTTATTCGCAAAAATAAACATTACTTCACAGAAACAAACTTTATATTTTACGTATAAACCTACAAGTATTTTTCTCTTACTGCAAAGAAAACTTTATTATATATAATAATATGAAAATTAATTTCTATTATTGGAAACGTTAATAACTAATTATATCTCTCCCCTCTCACCTTCTGATACAATAAAAATCAAACTAATACAATACAAACAAATACAAATATAATACAAACTAATACAATAGAATTAACCAAAGCATAAGTAACAACAATAGTGCATTAAAATAAAAATAAACAAACAATTAATACTAAACAATAAATAAATCATTAATGAAACGTTAGTGATATTTAATTACCAAGTAGAATGCTATTATCTACATTTATAACGATGGGGATGTCTTTCGTGCAGCGACACGATTCTACCTGATTGCTATCACAATTTTTCTTTCTTTCTCTCTCTCTTTCGGCTGCGAGTCACCCTCACTAAGGCACTCGCGGTAACTTCGTACGGAAAAATATTGCGACACGTATCAATCGCCGCGCACTCGATTATCCGGCCGCGGCCGAAGGTGTCTAAAAAATTCGCAACGTCCATCCTGACTCTCGGACTACCGATATAGGAACGAGACACGAAAGGGAATGAATGCAGACGGGACAGGTAAGGTATTTGACGGTCTATGGTGCCTGGGGTACGTCGAGGGCAGACTATATAATTTCCCTTGAGGGAGATCGGGATGGGCGATACGGGGGTGGGCCGGAGGGGCCAGCGAAAAAGAGGAGCAGGGGGCGAAGGGGATCGGCGTGTTTTCCAGGTGGGGAGGTGTGCCGCGCTCATCCGCGAGCCCATCAACGCAACCATCCTCCGACAATCGATTATTATCTTTCCAATTTGCATAGCAACCGAGCTCTTGTTCAAATCTGCACCCCCTGTTTCGACCCCTTTGGCAACCCCTTGCAAATCCTGCCCCGGCCGCCAGCGTGGCTCCTCGTCAGGCACTCCGTATCGTTTCTGTTACGCTGTCGGCTTTTTTCCGTCCCGGGCATTCGCGTTCAATCTCCTTGCCGGGGATGAGTCGGGGATAACTTGAGGGTGCTCTTCAAATCGTGAGGCAGCTTTTACCCCGTTTCTCACGCAGCATGCTCATTTTTTTTTCTTTTCGATGCGAACGCGAATTTTAATCCAACATCTTGTCGAAAGACAGAGATTTTTTCTTTCTTTTTGGTCAGGTATCGGCTGGGGTTGGTGGGATTGATCGCCGACCGAAATAAATGAATTTCTCTCGGCATGCCAGACGCCTCGTCCGCGACGAAGAATGAAAATAGGGTTATGTTTCCAATGGAACGAAGTCGTCTTTGTCTTAGACACAAATAAATAACTTTAAATCAAGCAAATCAGGTTTGTAATGTGACGTTTTATACGTTGAATTTCCTTTCTAAAATGCATTATTGATTCTTAAATCTGTACGCTGTGACATGTGGCATTTCTTCGCTCCGACCTCTTATTTCTCCATTGTCAGTCATTCCTGTCCATTATGCGACTCCATACAATTGTGCGATTCAGATATTCACCGCGTTACTTACTAACATAATGCTTTTTTAAAATTTTCATGGAATCCGTAACATGTGTCTTGCGCGACGACGTTATTTGCCACGTCTAACAAATATTCGCTGACATTTATCCGATTACGTCTCAACCACGCTGCGCTATACTTTAAAAACATAATAACATATTATCTTATATATGTAATAATAAGTTTGTCTGTATGTTCCTAATAAACTCCTAAATTATAAACTAAGCTCTGAAACTCTTCGACCGATCTGGACCAAATTTTGCATAGTAACTCTCTAGAACCTTGCGGAATATATAGGATACATAAAATCTAAACATTCTTTACTCTAATTTCATCCCCTTGACACTTTGTGATAATTTAAATTTAGCTATTCTAGATATAAGAAGCTCAAGCAATGCCGGGTAGTTTAAGTTAATTAAGTGTATAATTACCCTTACTATTAATTGTGTGTGTGTATGTGTGAAATTACAAAAAAATTACGTCCATCTTTGTCCTCTATCTTGACATAATTCTCCTCGTTTACGCGTTTATTTAGGCGAACTATGGTCCTTCTGAAATGTAACAAAGTGGCTTAATTTTTAAAATATGTTTAAAATATAATTTCTCAAGCACAGTTATCGAGATATTAAACAAATATAAATTATATAGATGATCCTAGAAATCTAATACGTTTCCAGATGCTATCTATATTCTACAAAAAAGCCAAACCGAGACAAAAAATTCCCCTTTCAATAAATAATATCTCCGTTCTTGCTAAGAAATAAAAATAGCAAGTAAAATTCTTTCCACCGAAGAAACCTAGACATGTATCTTTTATCAATTGTTTTTGTCGACAACCGACACATCGATTACGTCGATTTGTAATCCCATGTAGATAGTTCCCCTTCTGGATTCCATCAACGTTGAACATTTATTTGGCGTCCCACCCAACGTGCGTTAAATTACATTTCCCGTTTATTCCGGAATTCGCAGACTGTATCGGCACATTAAATAATACGATACCGAAAGCTGCTCTGCAATCGAATATGTCGACGGGATTCGGGCGCATGCCCGTCGTCCGACTGAGTCAAAAATACGCATGGCCAGATACCAGCCCTAATAGACTTTCCGTGTCGGCGATAAGATTAAAAATGAAAACGACGCGTATTTCTGTCAGTCGGCCACTCGGTCGATTTCATTCGACAATCGCTCGAATCACAAGTGACGCCGTCGTTATCGATAGCTACCTGCTGTATCAAGAAGTTCATTAAAGACACATTGATAATCAATCAGAAGTCGTCGATTGTCGCGGAATATCTGATGCGCCAATTTTGTTCGTTATAATCGCAGACGGCATTTTATGCTGCTTATTGCCCAGATATGATATGTAAAATACGATATTATTTAACAAACTGTTTGGCGATATGTATTACATAAATTGGTAATAGTCACTAAGTTTTAACAACAGACGAACAATTCTGCTAAGGAGTTTCTTATTAATACTCATCAAATTACTTAATTATATTCACTTACACGTTTAGATAGAACTATTTCACTAACACATCTAGTAACTACAGTGAGAGAAAATACTTGAAAATTTATTAGTGGCATATAGAGTTTATTTCTATAAAATATAAAGTTTATTTTTTTGTAACATTTTGTGAATAAACTTCATATCTCACAATAAAATTTTCAAGTGTTTTTTTCTCAGTGTATTATCCAGGCTTGATGGTTAGTAATTTTTTTCAGTGTTTATATTCCCACCGCGGAAACATCAAAATAGAAATAAATTTTAGCACTTTTTAATGCCCTTTGTCACAATTTTATAGTTTTAATAATTAAGATACAGGGGGACACGCGTACACACAAGATTGCTCGTTCAATGGTTGCGTTGACTTCCCAACCATCTTTCCTTCGACGTTTCAAAGAATGGACGGGGCACATCGTTGGACGGTCCAGAGGGTTGAAACCCCTCTTTTATAAAATCTTTGACGCGTCGTCGAGCGAGGCAGTGCCTCGACAGTCATTAATAACTTTTAGGTGGCAGATTTTGCGCGTATTAATCCACCATATTATACCGCGAGGCTGCAGGGACTATATCTCCCTCTTGCCGTCGCCTGTTGGCTCCCGTTTTGCACCCCCTGTAGGGTAGGGCAACCGGATAGCTGAGTCGACGTCTCCTTAATGAAAAATCTGAATCCGGAGAGCGCCTTTTCTTTCGCGCTCGACGCATTCTCGCCGATCCACAACGGCGAGTCTCGCAGTAATAATAATGGAACGTTTGCAACAACTGTCAGAAATTGCATTCATACAGCTGTACATTGCGCTCGATGTGGCGTGACTTATGAGAGAAACAGATTAAATAAATTTTTCCATTATTCGTTGAATACTTCTCTTCAGTGTATTTTATGACGCGGTTTGGATACATATTTGTACGATAAAAAATATCCTTTGACCTCAAGGCGACTCTATTTTAAAGAAAAGTACCACTTTAAACTCTTCTTCGGTCACAAAATTTGGAGTTCATTGACTCTGTCGCATTCTGCGTTCATCGCGCTGACAATAAGACACCGGGCGACATCCATATTCACTACGAAGCTACGAAACCACCCCGTCGACTTTTCTCATTTCTGTTTGCAGAGACGACCAAACGGCCCCATAATGTGCTCGCGTGGCAAATTAACAAACGCCCGAGGAATGAACCGACTCCGTTTCTCCTTCGCCATCAGCCCCTTCCGGCACACACCGACACGTGCTCCCTCTTCCCTCATGCTCCCTCTTTCCTAATCTCCCTCTCTCATACACATTCTTTCTCTTTTTCGTTCTTTCTCTCTCCCACGTCGTGGCAAGGAGGTATATTGTCGCGTAGTAGCGTAGACCGTAGTAGCGGCTTCTCTCTTTCTCTCTCTCTCTTCCGCTGAGCAAATTTCATGTACAATTAGAAGGCTTTTGTAGAAGCTAAACTGCTAATAGTCTCCGAGAAGGGGCTCGCGTCCTTCCACCCCCGTCTTGCCTCTTCGCCACCGTGCACCTCATTTCGCGTGACAGTCGTTCTCCTCGTCGCCATCCGTTCCCTACCGTGTCGCGGCAGTCTCTCTCTTCCGCGCGCACGTACCCTCACCAGTTCTTCAACCCTTACCAGAGCTTGCGTTAACCCATCCTCCTCTCGACTTGTGTCATCTCGTGGAACGTATCCGCCAATTCACTCCCGCTGGAAGCCAAGGCGTCCTCTCCCGCCGCTTCCTTCTGCACCCCCGAATCGAGGTGAGAGCAATTCGGCAACGATGAGGGCGGCGCCACAAGACTTATTGTGGATTATAAACTAGGATTGTTTTCATTAAACGCCACGTTTCCCTGCGACTACCCCTTTTCGGCATGTGTACCTTATTGACTCTTACGACGAGCAGGAGCAGACTCGTTCCCACCTTGGAAGCACCAAACGCGCTACCACGTAGAGCCACGTGTGCGAATAGATCCGAGCGCTCGCCCGAGTCACTCCGAGTGACTGTTTAATTGGGCGCACTAGGTAGAGAACCTTCTCGAGCTGTGATCGGCGGATTCACAGCGGGTGTTAATTGCAAGATGTAATTGTATGGTTGATCTGCTATTTCATTTTTTCATTTTTTTGTGCGAAGTAGATTGCACACTCTTGAAGCTTAGTAACACATCTGGCTTTTGCTAGCATGTTTTATTATTTTTAAAAGTAATCTTTTTAAATGTTACCAGCAGCGCGATATATCCGAAAGAGATATACTGTTTCGCAACTCAGGATATTTTTGCCTCGATACGCTGGACTGATTAGTATAATAAGTTTTTATAACAGAATTTATATATTAATATATGTTCGCATGCGTGCATGTCTTATACAGACATACATGTCCTAGAATTCTTAAAAAAAAAAAAAAATAGTGGACTGGTATCCACTGGACAAATATCGTTATAGACAAATACTCGGTATAAATTACGGTTTTAATAATTGGAAATAATACGGAAAAAATAAGAACAACGAGAAGATAAAGATGAGAAACATAAAGATAAGCTCGACTGATCTTAAAATTTTTGTATGGAGTATCAAGTGTTCTTGCTTCTCTTTCGTTACGTAAAGGAATATTTTTTTCACATTATTTGATTTATTTTCCAAATAAAATTCTTATGCATTTACAAGCATATTATGACTGAGAACATTATAGAAAGAATGAAAGAGAGAGAGGAAGGAAGGGAGGGAAAGAGAAAGAGGGGGAGAGAAAGAGAGAGGCGATGTACTCGTTGATGACTAGTTAATTGACGCGCGACGCGTGGAGATTGTTTTGACAGCGCAATAAGACATGCGCGTTTGTACGCAAATCATACTAATTGAAAACTGAGGTCTTACACTTGCGTTGTTGCAACAAAATAACTCACTTCCAATTCCGTGTTTATGTGCTTAGCCGCGAACTGGACTGGGAAAAAATTGCATACAGTAAGTTGAACAGTGTCTAACGCTACAACACGTCCGTTATCTCCGTGTAAAATGGCTTGTCAGTTCTCGAATAGCCCTAACCTCTATTATTCTCGTAAATTGCCCTATGTAGCGCATCTATCTTTACGCGAAGGTAAACCGTGAACACGAAAAACAAATTTATGAGAAAGAGGACAGCGCTTACGACGCTCCACCTTTCACGGAGACTCCGGGAGGAAAAGTGGAAGACGACCCGCGAAGAAAGGACTCTTTGTTATGTCTTCTTTTTTAATTCGGGGCGGTTTCCGGCACCGCGCAAATATACGGCCAACGTCCTCTTTCTCTTTCCTTTTTATATCTCTCTCTTTTTTTCTATCTTCGAAAAAGGCCATCATTTTGCGCGACTCGTCGCCGAGTATTGTTGAAAATCAAATGAATACAGTTGTGTGATAATCACACTTGCAATGACAATAATATTGACTTTCGCGTCAAATCGCCTAAATAAGTGCGCACATTAAAAAATTCGGGGTCGTCCACGGAGTATTTTGAAGGTGAACAATTCAACGTAAATATAACACCTCGCTGGTCGTGACACACGTGCGAATTAACGCGACTGGAAACGTATAGAGCACAGCGTAGAATCCGTGTTCGCGCCGCTGGACGCGGCAAAGACGTTAGCGAGCCAGAAGTAGGAGGTAAAGAGAGGACGTGACGATAACTGGGCTAATGTGCAATAATGAACATGGTTGCTTATCAAATGGCCCTGACGGTTCTCTTCCTGCTGCCTGTGTGACTTACGACCGCGTCTTTCATGAACCGCGAAACATGATTGTGACGCGCGTAATGATGCGCGGCAACGTGCGACTATTTCGCGCGGTTTCGCAACTCGCACGAAATGCGGAGCGGCATAGAGCGCGAAGGCAAAATCCACTCGTTGAATAAAGACTTTGTCTGAAGTTCGGAAAAGAATTTTGACTTAAACACACTCATATGAAAGTTTGTTCTTGAACAAACTTGTATATAGGGGAGAGTTGTCGAAATCGGCAAACCGGTCTCTTAAATCGTAACTGGTTTCTTTTATGTTTGTAGTGCACATAAAATAAGATATAATCTACATAATAATAAAAATAAGAT